AAGGGTCCCGACTCGAAACGTCAGCTTTCCTGCTCCTCTGATGCTGCCTGGCCTGCTGTGTTCATCCAGCTCCACACTGTGTTATCCCTTCAGAGATCTGATCCTTTATCAAACCTCTGTGTTTGTGTGTGCGCGCAAAATCCTACATTGTAACAATGACTAAACTCCAAAGAAGAGTACTGTACTTAATTGACTGTAGAGTGGCTTCTAACGTAAATTCGTGTCTTCCTTACTGAATTTCCACGTCTTGTTTTGAAATCGGTCAGTTTAGGTGGAATATGGCATTAATATTTAGGATTGTGTTGGGTTACAGAACTGTAACCACATCGTCGGTTCATCCAGAAATAATTTTAAATAATTCAGAGACAAAAAAATTCTTCTGTTAATATATAAAATAATTGCAGTGGTTACATTCCTGTCTATATCAAGAGGGCTCAAGTTATTCACTTCTCTGCAATATGGGCCCCACTTCTCATTGCGAGAATATTAGATCACGTAGTCATAGAGGCCTACAGCACAAAAAGGCCTTTCGGCCCATTGAGTCTGAACTAGTCAGTAACGACCACATCCAGAGTCAGATTCCCACCACCCTTTGCATTTTTTTTTCCCTCGCATCCCATTTGAACCCATCCATTTTGTGTTATTTGCAGGTCTTAACGTTTTATTAAATTCTTTCAAGGGATGTGAACAAGGCTAATATTTGTTGTTCATGCTTACTGGTCCTTGAGAAGGTGGGGTGATGAACCATCTTTTCAATTGCTGCAGTCCATCTGATGGAGGGGGACACAGTACTGTAGGGAAAGGAGTTCCAAGACTTTGGTGCAGTGAAGGTAAAATGATATGGTGCCAAGCCAGAATGGTGTGTGACTTAAGTTGGTGCTCTGCATGGGACTGCTTCAAGCAGACATTGTTGAGTTGACTACCAAATTTTCATTAGGCATTTGATGTAAAAAGCAGTGGAATTGATAGAGAGATGATGAATATGTAAAATGATATTGAAATGAAAGTCAGATCAAGGAACAACAATGTTTAGAGACTCATAAACAAAAAAAGCCTGCTTTTATCACCCTGTGCTTTTAAAGTGAAAGCTTATTTGGTTCCACATACCTTACATATTGTGAAACAGGGCTCTCCCAAATGAAGGTAATCAGATATTGTGTCTGCTGCTCTGTATATACACTATATATGACTGATGGCCTTCAAACTACAACCCAGGCTTCCAGGCATTGGCAAATAATGTACAGCTACAGGTTTGGTAGATGGTTTGGTGAACAGGCTTGTTGATTATTGTAAAAACCCATCAGGTTCATTAATGTCAGTTTAGGGGAAAAACATCTGCCCTCCTTACCCATAAGGGCTACTTAAGGCAATTAGCACACCTGCCTACATTGCTCAGTCATTTGAGTCTGGGAGTTGGAAAGTTGTGTTGAGGTTGTACAGGACATTGGTGAGGCCTCTTCTGGAGTACTGTGTCCAGTTCTGGTCTCCCTGTGAAAGGAAGGATATTATTAAGCTAGAGAGGGATCAGAAGAGATTTACCAGGATGTTGCCGGGTATGGATGGTTTGAGTTATAAAAGAAAGGCTGGGACTTCTTTCACTGGAGCGTAGGAGGTTGAGAGGTGACCTTTATTGAAGTTTATAAAATCATGAGGGGTATAGATAGTGTTAATGGAAGATGTCTTTTCCCTAGGATGAGGGATTTCAAGTCTAGGGGCCATATTTTTAAGATGAGAGGAGAGATTTAAAAAGGTACAAGGGTTCTTTTATACAGAGTGGTTCGCGTGTGGAATGAACCTCCTGAGGAAGTGGTGGATGGGGGCACAGTTACAATGTTTAAAAGACATTTGGATAAGGACATGAATAGAAAAGATTTGGAGAGATATGGGCCAGGAGCAGGTGGGACTAGTTTAGTTTGGGATTACGTTTGGCATGCACTAGTTGGAGTGAAGGGTCTGTTTCATGTTGTATGATTCTTTATGATTCCAGAACCACAGCAATGTTGTTAACTCATAACTGCCCTCTGAAATGGCCACTTGATTCAAGGGCAATTTCAGATCAGCAAAATATGCTCGCCTTGCCCACAATACACACAGCCTGTCAAAGTCTAAAGAGTAAAAGAAGTTACATATGCATTATCACACGCCTTTATCTCAAGGGCAAGCTCATTTTCTATAGGGGTGCACCTCACTTGCCTGAATCCAGACATTTTAAGACACAGTTTGGTGAGAGGGAATGTTCAAGGATTGCCAAAGAGTGCACAGAAATTTGAGTTCCAGTCAGCTGAATACATGCAGTTGATCTGTTGTGAGAACTGAGCTGTGACTGCCCTAAATATTGGTTGATCTGCAGTTCAGGCTAGAAGAATCTCTAACGTACAATGACTCATCTAGTCTTAGGATTCTATTTAATGAGTCAGGTTAACTGCATTAGTGATATTTTGAAGTATTGGAGACTTTGGTTCAAGGTCTTCAATTACAGAGTTTGCCACAGAGGGTTGAGTTGCTTCCAACTCATTGCAAGCTGTATCCTCTGTGGAGCCAAGTGGAACCACAATGACCTTGTTCACTTCCTTTCTCTTAAAGAAGGAATTGCTACAATCCATGCAATGTGAGTATATCCACAGTCCCAATGCCAGTCAAAATCCTCAATCTTTCCCTCTCAGCACTGTGTGCCACATGGAATGGAATCAAATCATATCAAACATGCACCGTCTGATGTCAGTTCCTTAGCTCATTGTCCACTGATGCTTTGTCCTGAAATTTTTCTTGGCATTTTTGTTTTTGTCACTGATGGTTTGTCATTGCCTTTCTATCTTGGAGGCAGAGTGAATGAACAGATCCAAGCCCAGCCCAGTCAGCATGGGAGTGAAACCAGTAGTCTTGCCTTTATTCTGAATCACATGCTATCTGTTCAGTTCACTGACTTAACTGGTCCTTGTACGGTAGGGTGGAACAGAGGATGGCTCACTACCACCTTCTCAAAGGCTACTAGGGATGAGCAATAGATGTGGCGTTGCCAATGATGCACACAACCCACAGATGAATGGATTTTAAAAAGTTGTTCAAGTAATGAGTGGGGTTTTTAGCATTTGAGAGAGTGTGTGATGAGGTTCTGCAGAGACAGCTTGTTGCCCTCTTTGGATGAAAGATTGAAATGTGGTCCTACCTGTTCTTTCCTCGGGGGCCTAAGACATACCACAACAGTACTCGGTAAAGAGTAGAAGGATTCTCTGTGGTGTCCGGGCTAACCTCATTCAACCACCACTTAGAGCAGTCAGTCATCATCCCATACCCAAAACCACTGTAATATACAAAATACCATGCAAGGAATGTGAGAAACACTACATTGGCCAAACCGGAAGAAAATTGGCAATACGGATACATGAACACCAACTAGCCACCAAGAGACACGACCAATTCTCACTTGTCTCGCTACACACGGACAACGAGAGACATGAATTTGACTGGGACAACACACCCATAATTGCACAAGCCAATCAGAGACACGCCAGGGAATTCCTGGAGGCCTTGTATTCTAACTAGAACTCCTTTAGCAAACACATTTGAATTAGACGCTGTGTACAAACCACTGAGAAACAGAACTGGAAGTGGTACCGAACACTCCAACAAACTGAGGCATATAAATATCAAGCGGGACAGAACACCAACACTTCACCGGAGGCACACCCTAGCAGGGTGATGAAATATTTGCAACCAAACCCATTGGCTTGGTGAGCATGTCTACAACCTCACTCACACCTCGAGCGACAAATCTTCTTAAACTTTAGCTGTCATCTCATCGGTGTTCATAAGATTTTGCGTAAATTGGTTGCTGTGTTTTCTTACATTATAACCATGATTATACCTCAAAAGTAACATGTTGGCTGTAAAGCTCTTTGGGATGCCCTGCGGTTACCAGAAATGCTGTTTAAATGCAGTCCCTCCTTGATTTCTTCTTTCAGCATACCACATTCCAAATACTCTCTTTAAAGCAGTATGTAAGAACAAGATCCTTTTGCATTTGTGAAAAGTTGCAGAAAGTAATTTCAGAAGGTAAACTGTGCTAAAAGGATGAAACTACGAAGGAGGATGATACAATAACAGCAGCATTGCATTTATATAGCACCTGCAACATGATAAGATACCGCTGCCCAAACCTTTTCGCACTGTGACCTCATTTTGAGGCATGAAAATTGTGGTGGTCCCTCACCAAGAACAATGAGAGCAGGAACAGAGAAGGAAATGACCTGGAAGAGCAGAAAAGACTCTGTGTTGACCATTGCTGCTTCTGAGCTTGCGATCTGACAATTTGAAGTCCTGTGATGAAATATCACAAGGCGTTTTATAATCAATAAAAAGTTTACACCAAACCATATAAAGAGCTACTGTATTAGGACAAATAAACAGATGTTTGTTCAAAATGTACCTTTTGAACTAAAATCATAAAGAAGGAATGTGCATGAGACAGGCAGCGAAGAGCAGTTCCCAGGCAGTTGATTGAACAGCCAGCAGTGGCGGAATGGCATCCCCAATTTAAAATCAAAGGTCAGACTAGGAGAAGTGCAGATATCTTGGAGGCTTGTCGGGCTGTAGATATGTAGGGATGAATCAAATCGTGGGATTTGAAACCAATTCAGTATAGCACAGGAACAGGCCCTTTGGCCCACCATCAAGGGTGAACATTTTAACACTGGGGTATTGCAAGCAAATGTAAATCAGGGTGAACAAGATTTGGTGTGAGTTAAGATGCCAGGAGCAGAGTTTTGGATAAGCTATTCCATGTAAAGTGGAGTTGTCACAGATTTAGAAGTGTGGACAAGGGTTACAACAGTAGCTGAGCTAAAGTCAGGGTGGAGCTGGAGTTGGAGGTGGACTTGGAAATATATCGTCGTTCTTTCAGTCTCACTGGGTCAAAATCCTGGAATTCCCTTCCTAACAATGTTTCTACTCTAAATGGATTGCTGCGGTTCAAGAAAGTAGCTCACCACCACCTTCTCAGGGGCAACCAGGGACAGGTAATAAATGGTGGCCTAGGCAGTGATGCTCAAGTCCCATGAAAAAATGTAAAAAAAAAGAGTTGGGTGATGGAAGCAGCTGATCTTGGTGATGGAGCTGTTATGTGGTTGGAAACTAATTTTGGTTCTATGTGTAACACCAAGGTTCTGAATCACTTGTTCAGCCTCAAACAGATGCTGGGGAGAGTGGTGGAGTTTGCATGTGGGATTACCTTTTTATAGCCTGATTCTCATCCACTTCTGCACTTAATCCAAAATTATACATCCCTGCATACATAATCTGACTCCTTTTTTGTTTACCCTCACCCTCCCCTCCCCCCTCCCGTTTTTATTTTTCAGGAGAATTCCAGAAACCATGACTTCAAAAGTACAGTTGTTATGTTGGGGTCATACCAATTTGGGGCAGCTGGGGCTGGGTGACATACAGGAGAACATAGTTGTTCAGCCAAGGACGTCTTCATTCTTCAGCGGTAAAACCTTGCGAGAGGTGTCGTGCGGGAGGTACCATACGGCTTTCGTTCTACAAGATGGAAGTGTCTACACATGTGGCTCAAACATCTGGGGACAGCTGGGCCACGAGAAGGGAAGTTACAGTCCAGGTAATGACCACACAAGCGTCTATTTCCATTTTCTCTGCGTCAGTTTTGATGTACTTTCCACAAATGGGCAGGAGCGCAGCAATTGTGGTGCAAATGTGGCTGTTTTTTTTGTTTTGAGACTCCTTGGGTTAAAGAGTGGTGAGAAATGGATCTTTTAGAATTTGTTTAATTCATTCATGGGACGTGAGCAAACTGCAGGGCAAACTTTTATTGGACTTACTGTAGCCAAATTGCTTCTTCACGTTCTGGGTGGCCATGTTGTGGAAAGCTTCATGGTCCAGGCTGTGGAAAAAGCCCCAAACTCTCGACTCCTATCCCCTCTCCCTTCCCTCCCACTCCCAATTTGAGATTACCTGGCTGAAACAAGGATTTATCTGACAAATTACCAAACAACAATTGTGTGTTTCCAAATGAATTCAATGAAAGACTTGCATATTGCTCAGTTAGTAGCACTCTTGTCCCGCAGCATGCAGGTTGAGGGTTCAACTCCTATTCCGGAAACTTCTAGAATATCACTCCAGTGCAGTACAGAAGGGGGAGCTGCTCTGTCAGAGTTGCCTTCTTTTGAATGAGACGTTAAATTGAGGCCCTGTCTGTTTTTGAGTAAACACAGAATTACACCAAGGGATTATTTGAGGAGAGGAGATGTTCTCCTTGGTTTCCTGACCATTTATTTATTCCCCAGCTGGTGCCATGGGAGCATCTTTACGGTGTCACAATGGTACAGACACTTTAAAAGTACACCATTGGTTGTAAAGCACTTTGGGGCATCCTGATGTCATGAAAATAATTTTGGAAAGAAAAGTTATTTGGCTCATTACCAGTGTGAAGAGGATTGAGAAACCATAAGGCTGATCTTTGGAAAGCTACCATTCACAATGCTGACTTCTGCCATCTTGTGGCGATGGATGGCATCAGCTGTGAGCTGGATGTCCACTGATGTCCTGCGATCCTGCTTTCTTATCCTTTACCCAGAAGTGCTATCACACATAACTGAGCACCTTACCACCACCAAAGTCACCGTGACATTTTTCTTTTTGTTTCTTTTTGGTACCTAGTGACCCCCAGTAAAAAAAACTCATGTATCCAACTGAATATTTACAAGCAAAGTCCATTATGGGCAATCAAAGGTGAAGAGGCGGGAGGGAGAGCAGGAAGGGACTAATTGAAATTGGAGGTGGAGGGGGAAATAAAGCACTGCATCCCCGCTGGTGCCCACCTTTCTTTGAAGGCATCATGATGGACACCACATGCTCCCTCTCCAAGGAGATCTGGGCATGAATGTGACCACGGAAAAGGGTCAGGCAGTTGGCAGAGATGATCCCCTCCACAGTCTGGTGCCTGGACCTCTTTTTACAGCCAGCCTGGCCAGGTCCAGGAGCAGACCCATGGGATAATGCTCCGATCTGTCCGCACCTCTCTGCGCCGGGTGCACGAAGATCAGGAGCATGGGGCTGAAGTGCAACCAAAAACACAACAAAGGCTTTTTCAAATCACTAAAAAAAAGGGAATGCAAACACCCACAGCCAATATACACGTGCTTCACAGACTGCACAGCGCTACAAAATAAACAGATGGGCTGGGAGTGAACCACACCGCAATCTGAGGTTATAAGGAATGCTGTGAGTGACACCCTTCGCTTGGTGAAGGGTTTCGGCCCGAAATGTTGACTTACCTGCTCCTCGGATGCTGTCTGACCTGCTGTGCTTTTCCAGCCTCATACCTATGGAACATTCACCCCAGATTCCCAATGGAAAGAGGGTGGACTCCTGCTTAGAGAGCCCTCCATTTGGGGATCCCACCCCCTAGCGGTAAATAAGCACGCCGAGGCGTGTTCAGGCGACTGATGGAGTTGAGGCAGATGGTTTGCAGCAGCGGCTTGTACAAAAAAATGCTTCTTTGAGTGACAGAAAGACACATTGCACACAGCTAAGAGGTGCTCAGGTTGTGGGGCTTGGATTCCTGAGGGAGGTTCAGGACCTTGGGGCCAATGTGGTTTTCTGTCTGAGCAGCGGAATGCACCGATGGGATTCCACCACATACCTGAGCATCCTCCGACTGGTACGTGACATCGGGTCCAAACGCTGCCATAGCCAGGCGATGGATGGTATCAGCCGCGAGCTGGACATTCTCCAATACCCTGGCATCCTGGTTTTAGCTAGTCTCACAACTGGAAACATCTCTATATCCACCTCATCAAACCACTGCGGCATTTTCAGAGAAAAGCTGACATGAAAACAATTCAGTGTTGGAAAGGTAAGTATTTTGTGAATTCCCCCTTGGAATCAAAGAACACAGTTTAGCCCTTGAATTCTTTTTGCAAGAGGTATTTTCTGCTGTCATCACGTCTTATCTTGGCATCGCTCTTGCGCCATGCAGTATTTCTACATTCTGCCTTGCTATGCCAACTGTTTACCGACTTGTTGAAATGCCTGGCATGTGCCCCGTATAAGATTGTTGTGGGTTCGTTAAAAGTTGCCAAACTGAACAGGAACTTTACATTTGCTGTCACATAAGCAGAAGATCCCCCAAATTATTCTGCATTCCATTGACTGCAATAAATTGTCACATCTGTAATACATCATTTTCTAAAGCCCAGGTTCCATCATTGATCATCAAAGATGCCGAGTTCCATCAAAGCACAGGCGAAGGCCATTTGGCCCATTCAGCCAATACAAGCTCTTTGAAAAAGCTGAAAGCAAAAGCAGCGGTTGCCACGGAGCTATTCTATTATGTTTTAATATAATTTTCATGCCCTTCCTCATGGCTTCAGAGCCACCTCCAGTGGAATGAGGAAAATTCTGTCTTTGACTGTGTTTCTCACCTTCTCTCTCCAGCACCCCCCCTGAATTTTCTCTTTCTGTTTTACTTCCTTTCTGAAGTGCTGATGTATTTTGGCACTGTTCTTTTCAATCTATCTCACGTTTGTAAATTTGCATGATCTTAATGTAAAGGACCGGAAGACTTTGTAAATTAAATGTAAAAAAAAAATCACATTTAGAAAAAAACCTCTGGATATATAATCTTGTCTATTTTTGATACATCACTGCCCACCTGTCATGTCACCATATCGCTCAGAGACTTGAGTAAACCTACCAAATATTTCTTCAATCCATTTAAATCCTTGGGGATTTCTTTTGCTGTACTAGTTGTTTCCAGATGTTACTAGGTCTTGTGCGATGAGAAGACAAGAATTTACATTTGAATAGCACCTTTCATGATTTTGGGGTGTCCCGACTGCAGTTGAGTACGTGAGGTATAGTCCACTAATGTCATGCTGTGGGAAATGCAGTAACAATCTGCGCACACACTAATGAAATAATGAAATCATTTTCTGAAGAAGGGTCCCGACCCGAAACATCAGCTTTCCTGCTCCTCTGATGCTGCCAGGCCTGCTGTGTTCTTCCAGCTCCACACCTTGTTATCTAATGAAATAATGATCTGTTTATGTCATGTTTCACTTTTTTCTTCTTGTTTTTGACCTGAATGATGTTTGCTAGATCAATGCAGTAAGTCCTGTTAGATGGCTTCAGTTGGTTATCGGAATTCTCTCCCACCCCCGTCCCCTTGAGTGGGACAAGAACAGTCTAGTCAGTTAAGTACAAAGAAAGAGAGAAGCCAAAGTGAATGTAGGCCCCTTAGAAAATGATCGGGGAAAATCTTAATGGGGAAATGGACAATGACAGAGTTGAATAAATACTTTGCATCAGTCTTCACAGTAGAAGACACTAATTGCACACCAAAATTACCAAATATTCAAGGGCAAGATGAGGAAATAAAATGAATATAATAACTAGCATAGGAGAAAAAGTGCTAAAGATGGTTCCCTGGATGTGATGGGATGCATCCTAGGATATTAAAGCGCTGAGATCGAGAATGTACTGGTAGGAATCTTCCTGGAATGCTTAGATTCTGGAAAACTGCCAACGTAACACTCTTTATTTAAAAAGGGAAGGAGACAAAAAACAGGCAACTGTGGGCCAGTTAGCTTAATATCTGTTATAGGGAAAACACTAGCGTCTATTACAAGAATATGACAGCAGAGCATTTAGAAATACATAGTCTGATCAAGCAGATGCAATATGGCTGCATGAAGGACAAATGATACCTGACACATATTAGAATTTTTTTGAGGAGTTAACAAGCAGGAAAGAGGAATCGGTGGATGTAATATATTTGGATTCCCAGAAGACATTTGATAAAGTATCACACATTAGGCTTTTTAATAAGAAAGAGCCCATGATGTTGGAAGTAGTATAATTAGCATAGATAGAGGATAGGCTAACTGATCGAAGACAGAGGTGCGAAAGTGGAGTTAAGGATTATCAGATTAGCTGTTATTTTATTGAATTGTAAAGCAGATTCAATGGGCTGAATGGCATACATTTGCTCCTTCTACTGATAGTCTTATGGTCTAATGGAGACCGTTAAGGCATTCTGAGAGAGCATGACTTCACCTCAATTCATTCAATGGTCTTTACTCCGTATCCCTCCTTATCCTTCCCAAATGGAAATCTAGGGATCTCAGTCTTTAAAATTTTAATTTGATGCACTAGGGTAGGGGATGAGCAATAAATGCTGACCAAGCTAGCAACACCCACATTCCATGAATGGATTTTAATAACTAAAGGTGGCTCGTTTACAACCACCTCGAGAACAATTTGGAATGAACGCAGGCCTTCAGAGTGACACTCACACCCTGTTAGCAAATTTTAGAGAAAAAGTTATGCTCATTGAAGAACAACCATTGTTAAGGTAGCGTACACCCTCTACTTTAAAGTTTTTTGGCAGATAGTGACTGATATTGTATTGTTTGTAGGGAAATGAATTGATAGCAACATGCGTTAATATGCGCCTGTTTTTACAGCAGCTTCTAAATAGACCAAACATTGGGCAGTCTAAAGGTGCAATGAAAACGGTTTTGTTTTAAAAATTCATCCATTCACAGGATGTAGGCATCCCCGGCTGGTCAGCATTTATTGCCCATCCGCAGCTGTTAAGAAGGTGGTGGGGAGCTGCCTTCTTGAATTGCTACAGTCCATTTACTGAAGATAAACCCACAATGCCTTCAGAGGCAATTCCAGGATTTTGACCCAGCATCACTGAAGGAATGGTGATGTATTTCCAAGTCAGGATGGTGAGTGGCTTGGAGGGGAACTTGCAGTTAGTGGTATTCCCAGGTATCTGCTGCCCTTGTGCTTCCAGATGAAAGTGGTCATGGGTTTGGAAAGTGCTGTTTCAAGATCTTTGGTGAATTTCTGCAGTCCATCCTGTAGATGGTGCACACACCTGCTGGATTTGGTGGTGGAGGGAATGGATGTTTGTGGATCTGGTGCTAATCAAGTGGGCTGCTTTGTCCTGGATGGTATCAAGCTTCTTGAGTGTTTTTTGAAGTTGCACCTATCCAGGCAAGTGTGGAGTATTCCATCACACTCCTGATTTGTGCCTTGTAATTGGGGATGGACTTTGGGGTGTCAGGATATGAGTTCCTAGCCTCTTACCTGCTTTTGCAGTAATAGCACTTATAAGACTCGCCCGGTTAGTTGCTGGTCATGTTTTTGGGTTACAGGTAAAACTTAATTCACACACTATTCAGTTCACCATTTCTCTTCCCAAAAGGGCTTTACTGTGAAAGCTTGTGATTTCACATTAACCTGTAGGACTATAACCTGGTGTCATGTGATATCTGACTTTGTCCACCCCAGTCCAACACCGGTACCTGCACATCATAACTGTTCAGTGACACTTATTCTGCCCATTGCTCTCTCCATGGCCCAGAGCCCCCATCACGTGAGCACTTTATTTATTATCTCACCGAGCATATCGTCCCCGATTTCCTTTGTCACATCTTTAGTAGCCATTTATACAGCTGTCCAGGTATTGCCAGAGGATAAAAACAATAATATTTGAGAATGAGTTGTACTGGTCCAACCTGACTTTTATATCTGAAAATGGAGCTTTTCAGCATTTATTTCCAAGTACAGTTGTTGATTTCCTTCTGGATAAGCTCCGAGATACTCTCTTGTGACTTCACTGTCTTTGTCAAAAAGCACCTTAAAAATCTACCTTTTTGATGAAAATATTTGTCACCTGAGTTAATGTCTCTGTTTTGGTTTTGGTGTCAGGTTTTTTCTGATGGTCAGTCAATCTTGCAGAAAGCTTTGGGGCATTTTGCCTCTTTACGTGTAATATAGACAGGAGAAAAATTGAAGGCCCTTAAATTTTCTTCTGCTTATTGTGGCAATAAAGCTGTTCTTGGATAAATGAGTCATCAAATCAATAGACGATATGTGTATTCACTTTCTGACTGGCTTTGGAAAGTGGTGTACAATGTGGATGGATGTATTGGGTACCTAGTGAGATGAGAGCAAGTGAGTGGGGATAGGGATGGTGGGTGCACAGTCATAGCTGGAGGTCACCTGTTGAAGCCTCTGGATGAATAGTACCTCCTATGGGAGTATTTGGAGGGATATTGGTGGTAGGGGCTAAACACTACTTAACACAAAAAAAAATGTTTTCTGAGGAGATTTTGAAAGCAGGGCAGAAGGTAGTAAGACATGGATTCCGGGCTTCAGTTTCTGGCCTTTTCCCGTAGCCATGAGCTTGCCTTGGTGTCGATGGGTCAAGTTGCAAGCTCTGGACACTGGGCTGCCCCATACAGTGTCTGAGGTTTGAGAGGGCTGAGCCTCAATTGTCTGAGTGTCTGAATGTTTTTGAAATATGTTAGGAGTTTTTTGCTCATTGGGAAGAACTTGGGAGATGTATCACTTCAGATCTTTGAATTGTTGGGTTCGGACCTCCCCGTGGCAATGATATTTAAAGGTAAAGTGAGTACGTGCTGTTCAAGGGCTTCTAACTTGTAATTCTTATTATATACTAATCAATCCTCACTGCATAATGGGAATCAGTTGGCACAATCTGTGCTGAGACGTTATTTATGGACTATATGCACAGAAGCAGCAGAAAATGAATTTTGTATGTGCAAAGATTGCTTCCGGTTTTCTCCAAAGTTAACTTATCTCATGAACCATCCTATCTATTTTCTTCTGTACAGCTGGCCGGCTAGCCTTGAGTTGACATAACTTGATGCTCACCTTTAACCTTTTCCATTTTCATTAGAACAAGTTGCAGCACTAGATGCCCAGACGATTGTCCACACAGCTTGTGGAGAAGCCCACACTGTTGCCCTCAATGACCAAGGTCAGGTCTTTTCATGGGGAGCAGGAAGAGATGGTCAACTAGGGATCGATTCCACTGAGGAGACTATCCGAATACCAAGGTACCAGACAGTCCTCATGGACAGTCTTCAATGTGACGTTGTGTGCTGCAGAGATTCAATGTCTGCTTACACTATGTTTAATATTGGAACTGGAATAGTGCATTGTGGCGGGCATCTATAAAACATAGAAACAGGAGTAGGCCATTCAGCCCCTCAAGCCTATTATAGAGTCATACAGCAGGGAAACAGACCCTTTGGTCCAACCAGTCCATGCCAAACATAATCCCAAACTAAACTAGTCCCACCTATCTGCTCCTGGCCCACATCCCTCCAAACCTTTCCTATTCATGTATTTATGCAAATGTCTTTTAAACATTGTAATTGTACCCACATCAACCACTTCCTCAGGAAGTTCAATTCAAATGCAAACCACTCTTGGTGTAAAAAATTTGCTCCTGTGTCTTTTTAAAATCTCTCTCCTCTCACCTTAAAAATATGCCCCCAGTCTTAAAATTTCCCATCATAAGGAAAAGTCACTCACTATTAATCCTATCTATATCTGTCATTATTTTATAAACTTCTATAAGGTCGCTTCTCAACCTCCCATACTCCAGTGAAAAAAGTCCCAGCCTATCCAGCCTTTCTTTATAACTCAAACCTTCCATACGCGGCAACATCCTGGTAAATCTCTTCTGAACCCTCTCCAGCTTGATAATATCCTTCCTATAACAGAGCGACCAGAACTGGACATAGTATTACAGAAGAGGCCTCACCAATCTCCTATACAACCTCAACATGACTTCGGTTCTGCCCTTCAGTGAGATCATTGACCAATCTGTGGCCTAACTCCCAAGTATCTACCTTTTGCCTCATATCCCTTAATTTTTTGTTAAGCAACAAAGTAGTATCTATCTCATTTAAAATTAACAACTGATCCTGTATTAACTGTCATTTGTGGAAGAGACTTCCAAACTTCTACGACCTTTTGTGTGTAGAAGTGCATCCTAATATTTCTCCTGTGCGTTCTGGCCCTAATTCTCAGACTGTGCCCCCTAGCTCCAGGATTCCCAACCAATAGAAATTGTTTACCTTTATCTACCCTGTGTGTTTTCCTGTTAATAACTTGAAGATATCAATCACCTCGCCCTTTATACCTCTAACCTCTGGAGAAAACAGGCCTAATTTGTGTAATCTCTCCTCATAACTTAACTTCTGAAGTTTGGGTATCGTTCTTGTAAACCTACATTGTTCTCCATCCAAGGCCAATACATCCTTCCAAAGGTGTGACGCCTAGATCTGCTGTCAGTACTCCAAGTGGGGTGTGATTCTGTTGTTTGAATTACAAGTGGTTTTAATGAAATCCTTTTAATTCTGGTGTGTTGAATAAGTAATAAGTACTGAACTGTTATGCCTAATTCTGTGTCTTTGACTGCTGTGAAACTTGGCAAAGTGAAGCTTATGAAATAACAGTGCACACTGGACAGCATCGCTTTATTTCTGTTGTTCAGCTGTGCATGTGAACACCAGCGTTTGCTGTCCTATTTCTTCCTTAGTGAGGGTGAGTGCTGATTGCATCAAGAATACTCATTGAGGCTAAATCTTTGCAGACATGATTTTCTCTCTCTCTCTCTTTTTTTTTTTATCTCCCGTTCTCTCTTTGACTTTAAGTGAGCTTTTCTTCTCCAGGTTAGTCCGGACGTTGAACGGATGCGTGGTCATACAGGTCACTTGCGGAAGTTGGCATTGCATGGCACTTACTAAAGGTAACTCCGTATAGTCTGAATGCACTAACTAACCTCACCAAGACACTGAGCTATGACCACCTCTGAGGTCTCAGTAACACGTATGGTGGAGGGGCAGCTTCAGTCTTTGACCTTGTGCTGTTGAATCAGCCAAAATTGTAGTTTCCAAGCAAACTGGTAGGTTGTACAACAAGTGATTTTTGCTCTGCCAGTCCAGAGCACTGCTGTGAAGGTGCAACATCCCATAGTGTCTTTTCCTAAACTTATTTGATACGCCAACATCCCCCCAACTGCGCGCCCACCCCACGCCAACCCCATCTCCCATTACCTGTGGCAATGCTATTGTCTTAAATCTCAATGGGTAAATTGTACTTTAGATGAAAGTGTAAAATGGGTGATGCCCACCTGGGTAATAAACATCTTTTACCGTTCTGGTTTCTCTTCACGGTTAATGGTAGAGGAGTTTAAAAGATACCTGACATGCCCTTTTCACTGATATGGAAGGTCAAAATCATTCCCCCTTACATGTGCAACCTCTGGTTGAATGTCAGAAGCTAATGCTATATTTATGTAACGTTGATGGAGAATTGTTGCTTCAGTTGGTGTTTTTGTTCTTGTTTTCTTTTCCTCTAGATAGCCGTCTCTTTGCTTGGGGCCAGAATGCTCATGGCCAGTTGGGCCTGGGGAAAAGTTATCCCTCCCAGACCAGCCCCCAGTGTGTCAAGTCTCTGACTGGGATTCCGCTGGCTCAGATCGCTACAGGAGGGACACACAGCTTCACTCTGTCGCTGTCGGGGGCAGTGTTTGGCTGGGGGAGGAATAACTGTGGTCAGCTAGGACTCGGTGACGATAAAGGTATGCAGTTAACAGAGCGGTGTGAGTTTTTTTGGGAACGATTGGTATGCAGTTTCTGATGAGCCTAACTCCAGTCAGGAAACTTGTGTTCATGGAAAAGTGATGGTCAGGAAAAGACTAGCTAGCACATTAGCCTGCCCTGATATTTTGTGCTGACTGTTTTCCAGGTAGAATGAGGTGTATTAGGAAGCAGAGCTGGTAGCAAGGTTGTAACTGGTTATATATTCCTGCCTCTGAGTGATCTTGTGGAGGTGGATTTGGATCCAGCAGGTGGATAGCCAGTTAGACTTTCATTCACGAGATGTTGGCATCACTGGCTAAGCTGATATTTGTTGCTTGTCCCCAGTTGCCCTTGAAGGTGGTATTGTACTACCTTCTGGGATGTTGGAATAGTCACTGTGCTGTAAGGGAAGGAGTTTGAAGATTTTGACCCAGTGATAGAGAATTAACAATGATCTAGTTCCAAGTCAGGATGGGGCGTGGCTTGGAGGGGGACTTGTGGAGTGGGTGGTATTTCAATCCATCTACTGCCTCTGCCCATCTGGATGGTAAAGGTTGTGGGTTTAGAAGGTGGTAATGTTCTCCAAGGCACAAACTGGGATTATTCAAATTAAAAGGTGTGTTAGGCCTGGAGAGACTAAGGTAGTTTTATGAGAATATACAGCAGAGTTGAATTATAAATGTTCTACTTCAAGTAAGCGCCAGCCTCACCATGCTTTTTAAATTCAGTCTTGATGAAGAGGGGGAATTGCTAGCAAGGGTAGCCCTTATTATCCACCCCCAACACCCTGAGGCAGTGGTGAGCCAACTCCTTGAATGGTGCAGAGTTCACCTCTTTGGAGGATATTGACATTGACGTGGAACTGATTTCACATCTATGCTCAGAACACACAGGGATGGTGAGTGAAATGGTTCCAAAAAATGTCCAAATTACCTGGAAGAATCAGATCAATCAAGGTGGGGGGGTAGGGGGGGGTGTGTGTTGGAAGAGGTGGAGTAAGCTTGCAGCCGAGGCTGGGCTTGGTGGCATGAGTCTACAGGGAGAGTCGACGACTAGAGGGCAGACTCTTAGAATAAAGGGGTGCCAATTTAAAACTGAGATGTGAAGGAATTTCATCTGAGGGTTATAAGTCTTTGGAACTTCTTGCTACAGAGAGCTGTGGGGGCAGAGCCCTTGTGTATATTTAATGCTGAGATAGATAGGTTCTTGATCTGTTGGGGAATTAAGGGTTACAGAGAAAGGGCAGGAAAGTGGATATGTGGAATGCTAGATCAGCCATGATTCTACTGAATGGCGGACCAGGCTCGAGGGGACAAGTAGCCTGCTCCTGTTGCTATTTCTTATGATCTTATGATATAAGGCCAAGGGGGAATGAATCTCTGTGTGCAAGGCCTGGGGGGAGCAGGCAGTTCGCCAGGTCAGGTGAGAATTGAATGACTAGAAAGGGACTGCAAAGAGGTGGAGGAATAGAGAATCAAAGGTGACAAAGTGGGAAGAGGGAGGGATACTGCCAAGGGAAGTCTATCAATAAATCAATACCTGCTTTAATAGGAGCCAGGAAATCTCTAAGTAATGAATTCCTTGCAAATTAATGTGCATTTCGTGAAGTGTGTGTCAGATATTGTCAACAAAACCTTTTGTTGTCTTGTATCCATTTAAATATTATGCATCAAAGAAATTTCAACTTTCCTTGTGTGATGTAGCTTTTATGTTTCAAGGAGGGGTGATAAAAATTGAAGACAATGATGAATTCTATTAATTCTGCTTCCGAGCATCCAAATGTCACATAGGTCAACACAAATACAGAAGATAACGTTATGACATGACTACATCTCACCTAATGAATGAGTTAATGAGAATGAAAAATTAGCTTCCCGAAAATGAGAGGTGTTTTTTAACTTTGACCCTTCATTCGCATTATAGATCTTATTGGGGTTCAGAGTAAACATGGGACATTTAAATATTATTCCAAATATTCGGAATTTAAATTATGAAAGAATATTAAGGAAATTATTTCTTCAGAAAGGTTCTCCAGGTTATGGATTGCAGGTTTTCTTCTCAAATGAATTGGTTGAGTTTTTCCTGACAATTATTCGTGGTACAATACAGGGCTGACATTTAGCAGCTCTTCATTATATAGTGGGATTTGAACTCCAGTTCTCTGAATTCATCATCCAGTAACATAACCACCACGCTATTGTTTCCTGGCAGATATTGGGTTTGAAACTGCTGAATTATCGAACTCTTTTTATTTCTGCCAATGGTGCATAACAGTCGATTAGTGAACAGATTGTATCTGTTTGCATTTGTAGATCGAGATGTCCCCAATCATGTCAAGTTCCTGAGGAGACAGAAAATTGTTTACATTAGCTGTGGTGAGGAACACACAGCAGCTCTAACAAAGGTACAGTTTCCTTTTCATATGAGGAATGTGTGTGTCATTGGAAAGACCAGCATTTATTGTGTTATCATCCCAGCTGATGGTACTACTGGACACATCCAAGAATGATATCTGGCCTGATGGATTTTTTAAAAAATTAATTAATGTGATAGTCATTCACTGAGACGTTGTTGCACAAAGCTGCAGATTTTCTTTAACAATGGAACAGAAGTTTATTACACAAAAGATGAAAACCAAAAGCCTAGATATAGTAAACAGTTAGAAAAATCTTAACCATGCAACAAAACAAAGTTTCACTCTTTCAGTCTTCTTTTTGTCCAATATCATCATTGAGTGATTCAAATCCAGAGAAATTACCCCTCAACATCAAATCATTAAGTTTCACTTAATTGATTCTCCACAGTTCTTCCCTGTAAATTGTGAAGTCATGTTATGTGAACAATCACAAAACTGAGGGGCTAGACTTCCCCAGATTTTAATAACCTGCCAATTTCTAACCAAACACTCCTGGTTTAGAAGCTTCATAATTTTAAGAACACACATTAAAACATCAGAACTAGGAGCAGGAGTAGGCAATTCAGCATCTCACCCTGCTGTGCCATATGATGCGATCATGGCTGATCTCATTTCAGCCTCAACTCCATTTTCACACCTGCTCTCCATAACCCTTCAGCCCATTACTAATTACAAATCTGTCCATCTTGCCTTAAATTTAGTCAATGTCCCAGCATCCACCACACATCGGGGTAGTGAATTACACGGATTCACGATCCTTTGAGAGAAATAAGTTCTCTCAATGTCTGTTTTAAAACTGTTACCTCTTTACCCTAAAACTGAGCTCTCTTTCCAGATTGCTTCACATAAGGAAACATCTTTCTATGGCTGCTTTGCCAATCACCATTAGCATTGAAATATCTCCACATAGGCCAGTATCTGGTCACCAAGTTACCTTTTATTTACAAGTGGAGAGTCCTTGATACTGATCCAGCTCATTCAGAGTGAGCAAGATGTCTGACCCTCCCGTTCTTATCAGTCAGCCAGGGCTTCCTGATTGGACCAGATTAATAGCTCCAATCAGGGAACTCCTATTCTATGATGTCCACCTAGTTGACCTTGTTACAATCACTGCAGGCATCTTGTAAACCTCAGTTAGATCTCCTCTCATTCTTTTAATTCCAGAGACTATGGGTCTAAACTGCTCAATCTCTCTTGAGACAAACCTGTTCTCTCTGGAATGATTCTAATCAATTTCCTTTGAACTGCCCTCCAATGCAACTACCTGTCCCCTCCAGTAAAGGGACCAAAACTGTACGCCGTACTTCTGATGCCGTCTCACTAATGCTTTGTATGGTTGCAGCAACATTTCCTTACTGTTATACTCTATAGCTTTGGTAATAAACACCAAAATCCTATTTCCATTCCTTATTACCTGTTGTACCTGCGTAGTAGTCATCTGCGATTGATGTATGAGAACGCCCAGATCCTGCTGGACTGAAGCACTCTGAAGATTCTCTCCATTTTTTTAGATATTGAGTTGCCTTTCTATTTCTCTGACCAAAGTAGATAACCTCTCACTTATCCATGTTAAATTCATTTGCAAAATTTTGGCACATTCACCTAAACCTTTGCATTTGTAAATTTGTTATTTCTTCATTTCAACTTACTTTGCTACCTATTTTAGTGTAATCTTCAAACTTGATGCAAGGATAGAAAGTACTAGAGCCAAGTAATTAATATAGATTGTATATAGCTGGGGCATGAGGACCAAACCCCGTGTCACCCCACCAGTTATGTTGTGCCAAACAGAAAAAAGACTTATTTATCCTGACTCTCTTGTCAATCCTCTATCCAAGCAAAACAAAAGCCCTAACCCCACAAGATCTTACCTTGTATGTTAACCTTTTGGGTGTGACTTTATCATATGCCTTTTAGATGTCCAGACGTACTACATCTGAAGGATCCCCTTTATTCATAGTACTTGTTACATTTTCAAAGAACTCCAGCAAATGTGATTTACCCTTCATAAAAATATGCTGACTCTGATGGATTGTATTTTGACTTTCCAAATGTTCTGTTATTATTTCCTTAATCATGGATTCTGACAATTTCCCAACGATATGTTAAACTAGCGGGTCTGTAGCTTCTTACTTTCTGTCCCCCTCCCTTTTTAAATAAGAGCTTTACATTAGCATTTTTCCAATCCACTGGAACATTTCTCACATCTAGGGAATTTTAGAATATTATAACCAATGTATCCACTAGTTGTGCTGCCACTTAGATTAACTTAGACTAGGATGTAGACCATCATGACCTGGGGGCTAAATTAAGCTTGTACTCTCAAGTAACTGTGCTTTCCCTAAACTGTCCTATACACCTTTCTTCTGACCTCAGTCAGAACTCTGAAAGTTTTTGGGCAATTCAGTCCCTGAGTTTTAAGCTGAAATCAATCCTTGATTATCCTGAAGGAAAAACAAGCTAATGGCCCTTAATGTTTACCCCCGTTGTTGTAAACTCTCACATTAAAAACAACTTCCATTAACATTCCAGAGGTCCCTTTTCTTTGCCACATACTGGATAAGGTTACTGTTCTAGAAAGACTGGTTGACTTTTTTTTACAAAAGTAACCAACTGTGCATGCTATTATTTTAAATCCAAACTCTAAAGATGACCTATCTCAGTCAGACATCTTTCATCACAGTGGCCCATCACTAAGTGTCTTTGAGAAAGTGGTGATGAGGCACCCCTTTGTAAATTGGAAGCATACTTGAGGGAAGTAAACTTGCCAGGCTATAGGTAAGAAGAGTGGAACAGGACTGACTGGATTGCTCTGTAGTGACCTGGCATGGATGCACTGGGCTGAATTGCCTACCTTTTGAGCCATAATGTTGTGTGTGTCATTCTGCAGGCAGTCGGGTGTAGGAGGCTCCCACTATGCAAGATTGAATGGATGATTGTAGCTCCAGGGCAGGGTGGTGTGTTGGCTTCTAAGGGGTGGTGTCTCTATGCACCACATACCCTTGTGATTCTAACGGTGTGGGGTCGAGTTTGTGGGTTTGAATACTGCTACAGAAGAGTTGCTGATGTAATTTTACATCCACTGTCATGAAGTCAATGGAGTGCTACACTACCTCATGGTGAAGACTTCAAAGTTGTGTTTTTGATGCTTAAAAGCAAAATACATGGCTCCATTATTTGTAATTAACCGGCAGTGGTCAGGATATTGTAAATGAACACCTAGAATGTAAAAACGTAGCTTGAATAAAACTTGACAAGCACCAGTCTAGAGTCATAAAGTTAGACAGCACGGAAACAGACCCTGAAATCCAACCAGTCCATGCCGAACACAATCCCAAACTAAACTAGTCCCACCTGCCTGCTCCTGGCCCATATCTCCCCAAACCTCTCCTTTTTATGTACTTCTCCAAATATCTTTTAAATGTTGTAATTATTTACCCACATCCACCACTTCCTCAGGAAGTTCATTCCACACATGAACCACCCTCTTTGTAAAAAATTTGCCTGTCACGTCTTTTTTAAATCTCTCTCCTCTCACCTTAAAAATGTGCCCCCTAGTCTTGAAATCCCCCATCCTAGGGAAAAGACAATTACCATTAACTCTATCTATACCCCTCGTTATTTTATAAACTCCTATCAAGCCACCTCTCAACCTCCTATGCTTGAGTGAAAAATGTCCCAGCCTATTCAGCCTTTTTTTATATAACTCAAACCATCCATACCCGGCAACATTCTGGTAAATCTCTTCTGAACCCTCTCCAGCTTAATAATATCCTTCCGATAACTGGATGACTAGAACTGGCCACAGTATTCCAGAAGAGGCCTCATCAATGTCGTGTACAGCCTCAACATGCCTTCCCAACTCCAATATGCGAAGGACTGAGCAATGAAGGCAAGCGTGCCAAGCACCTTTTTAACCATCCTGTCTATAGCATGGAACTCCCACTGTAATCTAAATTAATGGACAGTGTAGCCTGGGCTTCATACAGTTATTCCCCTTGAAGTAGAATTTTGATATAGATGAGGCTCTATGATGTTTCCTTCCTGCGTTAGAGGTGCTACACAAATGGAAGTTGTTGCTGTTGCTGCTGTTAAGTTAGCAATGTAGTAAAGGAACTGCCATCTATGCACCCAAAGAGCACAATGTTCCCAGTCTCCACCCTACTTGTAGATCAGCTTTGAAATATTCCAGTCTAATTGTACTGTATCAGCCATGATCCTATTAATTAGCAGAGCAGGCTTGAGGTGTTGAGTGGTCAACTCCTGTTCCTGTTTCTTATAGTCTTATGGTATTGTAATGTAGGTGTATACAACTGCCTGTCTATAATTTAAAGGCATTGACAGATTAATTTATACTGTAGTGTTAATTTTACAAATTGTTCATTCCCATTGCATTTTGTGTAACCTTCACCCAGAATGGAGGTGTTTTTACTTTCGGAGCTGGTCTTTGTGGGCAGCTGGGACATAACTTCATAAATAATGAAATAAATCCTCGCAGAGTCCAAGAATTGATGGGAAGTGAAGTCTCCCAGATAAGCTGTGGAAGGTGAGTATGTTTGATAGAAAATCAGCTTGGGCAATGCACTTGAGTGAGTTCTAATTGTTTACTTATCTGTACTGCAAAGGTCCACTTTTACTGGTAACAACCTGGTGCATGATGATTGCATTGTATAAGCTAGCTGTGCTTCAAACACACCAATTTCTGTTTTAACAAAACTACACACAATGATCACTACTTTCCTTGAAGCATGACTGGTTATGTTAAGAATTTCATTCTGAAATTACCGAGACAGGCAATCAGTTGTATCAACTGTATCTTTAGAGATAGGCAATCACCTTTAGGGACTGATGATAAATACATCCATGCTAAGAGCTAACTTAAAAAAGACAACTTGTAATTGTGAAGCGCCTTTTAATATTGAAAAAAAATTGCGGCTATTCTCCGAAGTGTAAACAGATAAAACAGGCCTCAGCTCGGACATGTGGTATGGGTGGTTTGTGGCGCGGTCAAAGAGATAGCTTTAGTTAGTTTGTACAGTTTTGGATTACTTGTTACTTTGGTTAGACCCTCAGCATGCGACTCTTATACCTAACATTTTATTCCAGTCATTTGGTTAGTCTCCAGCACCACTTATTTTTAATTTTTTGTGATTATCTCTCTGCCTCAGTTAATCACATTATAGGTCATCTCTTCACTTGTTATTCAGCTGTTGACACTTTACTCATTCTGTCTGACACTCTCTTGATCACCCACAGAGACTTATTATTTGGCCTGTTGACACTCCAGTCACACGATTTGTATGATCTATTGATCTCTCTGATTATAAAGTCTGTGCCTGGGTGTTCTCTTCACTTCACTTGATGAAGGGGCAGTGCTGTGAAAGCTTGAAGTTTCAAATAAACGTGTTGGACTACAATCTGGTGTTGTGTGACTTCTGACTTTGTCCACCCCAGGCCAACGCCAACGCCTCCACATCATGGCTACTAATGAAACTGCCATCTTTACCTGGTCTGCCCAGTATATGATTCTGGAGCCACAGCAATGTGGTTGACTCTTATCTGTCCTCAGGGCAATCAGGATTGGGCAATAATGACCCAGTCAGTGCATAAATAAAGAAATCGGAAAAAGAAACTGGGATAACAAAAAAATTGCACGAACATTATTATGAACATAATCTCAAAATAAATGAGACAAATTATTGTCTGGGTCAAGGGGCAAACTTAAAGTGTGTAAAATCATGGGGAAAAGCAAAAGAAATTGTTAGATTTAATTAGACTTTTAACAATGGACCAAAGGAGTGTTCATGTACTTGAACAAAGAGTTTGCACAGTTTTGAGGCCAGAAGTCTATAGTATCAGCCTAGTGCCACCATGTGGCCATCAGACACGCTGGTAGCTTGAATTTGGAGCTCACTGTACAGGTTGCATGTTGTACAACTCTCCATGTATTTCTGACCCAAACCACTTGCTGGGCACCTGGCCTCAGTGCTCCCCCCTCTCCCCAGCATCCCCTCTGTCAATTTTCTATGAAAATGGAATGGGTTATACCCCTGTCACATCCCTGTTCATTTTAACACGCACCCCCCTATACCCCACAGTAAGGGACTGTAGGGTTAAATTATGAGAATAGGTCACATGAGCCTGGTGTCTAATACCCTGAGTTTAGGACGTTGGATTGATGTGTTCAACTTAATAAAAGGATTGGATAAGGTCAGTGCAAAATAAACTGTTTTCACTGGTGGTAGTTCCAAAGAAAGCTCCACATTTGGAAATGGATTATCCATCCTGTCAGAATAGCTCCTTTACACACACCATTGCAGCTTGATACATGAGCCAGCTGTGCCAGGCTGCAGGAAGTGCACAGGTGCTCGCTGGTGTCACGAGAGGTGTTGGGTGAGGTGAAGGCCACAGCGAGCAAAGCGGAGCTTTCCCTCTGCGGTGGCGTCTGTGGAGTTGATCTCCTCAGACACTGCTCCTTCACCGTGCTGGGTCTATTGTTGTCATCTCACTACCCTGCCTCTTCCAGCCACTGCTATCTTCCAGCACATGTGTACGCCCATTGCTTCACTGCTGGTGCCGTTCACAGTATCTGCATCCAGTTGGAGTCAGGCCATTCAGAAGTGACATCAAGAAGCAGCTTCAAGACAAAAGGGAGTGAATTTTCAAGCTTGAGACCATGATTGAGCTTTGCCTGGCAAGGGATATGGAGCCAAGTAATTAGAATTGAGGTGTCGATCTAAACGAATACTGGAACACACTCGAGGGGCTGAATGACCTTCTCTTGTGTGTGTTTTTCTTCCTAAGTGATATCCACCCATTGTTGCTTTTGTGCCGTTTTGTGGATGGGCTTAGTGGAATGCTGCTTGGGTGATGGAACGGTGTTCTCCGATGTGTTTGTACAATCATCTGCTTTCAGTAAAGGAGCAAAAAAGCCAGCTGCTCCATCAAGCCTGATCCATCCTACACTGTCTACTGTCACTCCCAATTCCTCACTTGAGACTAATGCCAAAACTTGGGGAAAATTCCTTTCTGACTTCCCTCCTGTGACCATGAAATCTTCAAGCCCTTTGCTACTTGCTCACAATCTGAGAATGGCCTCCTCTGGCAGAGAGTCCCTCCAGTTGCCCACCAGGCTGCTGATTATGGTGCAGCAGTCCATTTGTAGATTTCTACTTCTACGCTCTGGTAGTTCAAAGCCACCCCAATCAGTCAGAAAACCTGCTTGCAGATTTGACACTTATTAGGCTTGAGACTTGAGCTATTAACTCTTAAGTGCCTTGTCGTGTAAGTGAATTACAAAAACAATCCCGATCTCTTGCATTGATGTGATAGTGCAAAGCAAAGAACTGCGGATGCTGGAGATTTGAAACAAAACTGGAAATTGCTGGTGAAACTCAGCAGGTCTGGCGGCATCTGTGGAGATAAAGCAGAGTTAGTGTTTTTGAGCCCAGTGACTGTTCTGATTAAGAGTCGCCAGACTTGAAGCATTAACTCTGCTTTCTCCCCACAGATGCTGCCAGACCTGCTGAGTTTTACCAGCAATTTGCATCTTTCACTAATGTGCCAATCTCTGAGTCGCAATGTTTAGTCAATTTCAACAGGTCTTTAAATTGTCTCTGTGACTAAGCTAATATTTGCTTGACCTGCTATTTCTTTGTGTCTTTAAAAGAATCTGGCAAAAGATACAAAGGGCCATCTTTACATAAATTTACCCAGGAAGCTTTAATAATAGATTAGAATATTTCAGAAAAGAAATGCAGATTATTGTCTTGATTTAAGAAAAATAATTAATTTGGTTAATTTAATCAATAGGTTAAACTACTTTAAATTGATCAAAGCAATGAATAAAATGTACAAATTATTAATAAAGGTCAGATGCCAAGTGCAGCAGAGTATATCAAGTTTGAAGCACAGTATTGTTGTAACATGTTCTTCCTTGTTCCAGACAGCACACGCTTGCCTTTGTCCCTTCTTCAGGCTTACTCTATGCATTTGGACGTGGCAACAGAGGCCAGTTAGGATCGGGACATACAGTTAACTCTCAGGTTCCACACAAAGTAGCTGGAAACTGGGTAACTCACACACACAAGCCACATCCTAACGGTGAGTGAAGTTTCAAGGCTGCCCTGGATTGAGCAATGCAATTTCTTCCCCTTATATTCAGTGTGAGTATAATTCACCCTCCACCTCAAGAGCGAGGTGTTTCAGTTTATCCTGGCCTAGTTTTAGCAGGAAGCTACCTCCTTCTGTTAGTTACAGAGACAACAAGGTGCAGGGCTGGATGAACACAGCAGGCCAAGCAGCATCTTCTGTTAGTTATCAGTTTTGATAATATTTCTGATTTTGCAAAGTTGTACCAATTGCAATCCTTCATAATTAACTTGTGAAATTGTCGATTTTTTTTTCTCTCTCTCTCTCAATGGTTAGTGCTGCTGCCTCACAGCACCAGGGACTTGGGTTCGATCCCACCCTCGGGCGACTGTCTGTGTGGAGTTTGCACATTCTCCCCATATGTGCTGGGGTTTCCTCCAGGTGCTCCAGTTTCCTCCCACAGTCCAAAGACATGCAGGTTAGGTGGATTGGCCATGTTAAATTGTCTGTAGTGTTCAGAAAAGGCTAGCTGGATTAGCCATGGTAAATGTAGAGTTAAGGGATACAGTGTTGGGCTACATCTGGGTGGGATGCTCTTCAGAGGGTCAGTGCGGACTCGATGGGCCAAATGGTCTCTTTCCGCACTGTAGGGATTCTATGATTATATGATTCTGTGTATTGGATTTCATGGGATGCGGGAGTTACTGATGAGGCCAACATTTATTGCTAATCATTAATTGCCCTTGAGCAGTTTAGTACAACTGAGAGGCTTGCTGGGCTGTTTCAGAGGGCATTTAAGAGTCAACCACAGTGCTGTGGTTCTGAAATCACTTGTAGGCCAGACCAGGTAAGGATGGCAGATCTCCTTCTTAAATGTAAAGTCGCCATGTTTCTACCAGACCACGGGGCTGCTTTCCCATGGGAGAAAGATGACTGGTGGTGGTTTAACTTGAGGTGAGGGGAAAACTTGAGAAGGAGGGTCCTTCATAGTAACCTCAGTCAGTGCAGGAATTGAGTCCACACTGCTGGTTTACTCCGCATTGCAAAACAGCCGTTCAGTCACCTGAGCAAACCGACCTCCGAAAGGACTTTAGTGAACCAGATGAGGTACTTTTTTGCAACAATCAACAATAGTTCTTTGATTAAGTCACTGATTAAGATTTCATGAATTGAGTTGAATTGAATGCTCAGTCAGATGTCAAAGCTGCTGGTGGACCACAGCACCTACTGTCCTGGCCAACGTGCAATTACTGCCAAAGCAGAAAAGAGGGTCAATCATCTCCTGCTTATAGTATCTCGCTGTTTGAAAATTGTGGCAATTCAACCTCAAGCTGTTCCTCAGGAAGGTGAGAAGGCGGGTATCATGTGTACCAGCTCCTTTAACTTTAAGCCACATTCAGCCCCTATAATTATACATTTTGAGTCAAGTCTGAAAAAACGCAGAGACGTGATTCCTTAAGTAATGCCAGCACTGGTAATATAGATTTGGGGTTTAGTGCAGGCTGTGATATGATTGTGGAATTGCTTCCCCTTTGACAAATTGTTGATGCTGAGATTCTACTTTCTAAGCTTTTTGAACAGGATCTCCTTCCCTAAGATTAATCCCCTTCATTTGATATAGATTGGTGTACTGACTAATGGTAGGGGTAGAGAGCTGTCATGACTTTCTTTTTTATTCTTGTTTTTGTTAAAAATAAACCAATTAAATGACAGTTTTCTATTTTACAATCTTATGAAAAGAACTTTAATGGATTAAACAGCCCCTGGTGGGGCAGTATAACCGAAACAAAATCAAATTAAAATACCACTATCTGGGGTGATAATACATTCCAGACCCTGTGGTGCCCCCTGGTCTCTGAAGAATCTTGATTCTGCTCTCTTAAAAGAAAACAATAATCAAATCAAATAGCCCCTGGTGGGAGTCTGTAACAGAAACAAAATTTAATGGAAACTTACAAATCTAGAATGAAAACTTATTAAAATCAATCAGAATAACATTATCTGGCATGTCAAAGCACCGCAGCCCCTGAAGTGCTCTCTAAAGGCCGATCCCTCCATACTGAGTCCAAGGACCTATTTGGATAACAATGTTAGAGGACCATCAGTGAGTCTTAACAAGAAGAGGCACTTGTTTTAACAAGATGTCATTTATTGCATGATAGCAATAGGTGCAAATCATGTTGGCTAGTTGGAAATAATAATGACAGCAACAGGAGACAATGGTGATACATCTGTCTCCATTGGAATCTTGATCTCTTTTCCCCACCCAAACAGCGATAGGTAAGTTTTTGATTAGTAAGGGTATCAAAGATTATGGGGAGAAGGCAGGACAATGAGGTTGTAAACATATCAGCCATGATCGATTGGCAGAGCAGACTCGATGGATCAAATGGCCTAATTCTGCTTCAAGATTTTATTGTCTTATGTATCGTATCACCAGATAGGTGGAGCTCGATAGTCTCCAACTTTAACATTTTCAGAACCATTACCCTCTATGAGATAAATTAGAAAAATATCCCAGGACAGACCCTGATGCATTTGTGCTTTCTAGTACAGTGCGCCCTGTGCCAATAGCCTAAAGGATAATTTCTGCATGTTGAAAGATCCCTTGTTGGGTGGGTGTTTTGTGAGTCTCAAGATTGAATCCAGTGAATTGTTGATGATTTTAATCTAGCGGTGTTTTCTGAACCATAAGCTGCTGTGTGTGTTGAGACTTGCTTTGATCTATCGGCAGATCAGTCCATGTATCGTGTGCTGAAACATGTTTGCTGTGGAGGTGATCAGAGTTTCGCCCTATTCTTTCACCAGGAGGTGAGACCAAACCCATTTAAAAACCCAGGTCAATGCTTCTAAAGTGATTTAAAGTGATCCCTTGATTTAAAGGTCGAGGGGATGCGTTGAAGGACAATGGGAAATGGTAACTTTCAATTCATTCTCATTAAGTGATGGTCTAGAGCCAGGAATACAGTCTCAGTTTCAAGGACAGGCCATGGAAGAATGAGAGGCAGGGGAGCTCTTCACTCAGAGCGTGGTGACTCTTTGGAATTCTCCGTCTCAGAGTGGTAAAAGCTGCCTTGTTGAGTCTGTTCAAGTTTGGATTTGATCGATTATCTACACATTAAAAACATCAAGGGATATGGGATAGTGCAGGGAAATGGTATTGAAGTGAAAATATCAGTGTGTTCAATGAATGAAAGAGCTGAATGTCCTGCTCCTGTATTTTTATGAATGTGGACTCTACTGACCTTCATGTATTCTGTATTTTAATAGGGATTCCCATTAATAGTTTTGAATGATGGAGATTTAGACAAGTGGAATAAGAAATGCAAATTTACAAACTATGACATTTTTAAAATGCAGATTTTCTGTTTTTGTTTAAATTTAATTAGCTAAGATTTTAAATCTGTGAGCAATTTGGATGACGTGTCAGCTCCTTCACACAAATATTAGAACAATAATTTGTCCAGTGCTGGAGTGGTTATTATCTAGCAATGGTCAGCTTAAATTAAAGCACCTTTTCACTTTAACCCCTTAAAACATACACAGAAACGAATACTGATAAAAGCACAAGTGGGGACTAGATGGCAGAGTGTCACTATGATGTGCCATTTTGTACCTGCTCTTCGCTTGTACTATCTATCCCTTGGCCATCCTTGTAGCTGGCTAGACCATTTTGGAGCGTAGTCAGCTATAGTAGAGTGGGTCTAGAGTTAGGTATTCACCAGACAGGGTAAGGATGGAAGATATTATTTCCAAAAGTTTGGGTTTTGGGATGACCCAACTGTTTCAAGATCACTCAGACTGACACCAGCTCTTCATTGAAATAAATTGAAAGTCTCAGACTTCAGTGGTGGGGATTTGAATTCTCTTTTGCTGGATCCTTGGCTAGATTGCCAGTTCAGTGTTGTGAGGCTGCAAACCAGAAACGGTGGGAACGAAGTAGCTCATCATTTCTCATTGCTGTCTGTGGGACCTTCCTGGCTGCAAATTTGCTGCAGTGTTGGTTTATGCAACAGCAGTGATGGGAATTTTAAATAAAGATACTTTGCATTGTCTTCATCTGCAAAATAATGAAAACTAAGAAAGGGTGGGGAGTAGGATGGTCTAAATTATCCTTGGTTGGAGTTGGCACAGGTTTAACAGGCTGAGTGGCCTCCTACAGAGATGTTACTGTTCTCCGGTAGAATTAAAACTCCTTTCTTTGTTTCTGTGATGCAGGATTTTGCAGGCTTGAGAATTTGGTTAGGTTTTAATCAGCAAATAATATTCTGTCTTCATGATGAATTGGTGGCTTTCCCCTTTATTATGAATACTTACAGCTCAACCTACGGTCTTGCTTGGCTTTAGCTGCATTGATGTGATTGTGTGTATCTAAGGTTTTAGAGTAGATTTGTAGCTCAGGTTGTGGATGTTGTGGTTGGTTGGCTCACCCAGCTGGTTCGTTGTTCCGCAGACATTTCATTACCCTGCTGGGTAACATCATCAGTGCAGGCTCAGATGAAGTGCTGTTGTGTTTTCCCGCCTGTTATTTGAACTCTGGAGTCAATTCACCAGAGTTCAAATAACACAGAGTTCAAATAACAGGCGGGAAAACACAACAGCGCTTCATCGGAGGCTGTTCTGATGTTACCCAGCAGGGTAATGAAATGTCTGCGGAACAACGAACCAGCTCGGCGAGTCAACCAACCACAACATCTGTCTGTGTGTGTCTGGAATACATGCCAAAAATCTGTTTATAGGTTTAGTGAAGTTTTGAAGTGGAGGGTGTTTTGACTTGAATCTCTGTGATAAAACCAGATCAACCATGATCTAATTGAATTGCAGAGCAGACTTAAATGGGCTGAATGGCCTACTTCTCTGCAATGTCTTTTGCTCTTAAAACATCAGAGTTGAGCAGCAGGAGATTTTTGTCATGTTTTGAATTCAGCACACATTTATGACATCATATTTTCCTTCTTTTCATCTCAACTTCACGTACTTTATGTATTCTTCCAGAATTCACAAGTCCCTGATGATTTCCGCTGTTTGGATCCTTTGAAATGTGTCAGGATAATCAATAGCAACATGAATCGATGGATGCTAGGCCTTTCAGGGAAGGACGTACTTAAGTAAGTCTTGACCTAGCTCTGATTACTGGGGACAAATGTCTTAATTGGATTGGATTGAATTAGCTTTATTGTCACATGTACTCACATGAGTACAGTGAAAAGTTTACAGCATCTGAGGTACCAAGGTACCATGTACAGATTCTTCAGTACAAATTCCCAGGAAACAAAACCCAAAAAAGTTTTTAAAAAAAAAAAAATGAAACGTTTACCATTACAAGCCTTCAAAAATACAAAATCAATAATAAATTAGAAAGGTTAAAAAAAAAGGTTCAGAATAAGACTGCTACCACAATAATATAATAAAGGAAAAGAGAATTTAAGACAAAGTGCACTCAGTCCATTTCATGGCTCTGGGCTCGAGGACCAGACCACCCTCACTCCCCCTACCCCCACCATGCACCCCCGCACCCCCTCCCCCCCCTTCCCACCCCACCCCCCTTGGAATCCCAGGCTGAACCCACCACAGTGCTGAAGAAAATGCTAGACGGAGTCACAGACTGACAGGAGTCTCACAAGGAGACCCCAGCCAGCACATTGCCATTCCTTATGCTGCTCACCAAAGTTTGCACTTCGACCTCCCAGCTCCCTCCAAAATGGTAACTCCCAAACTCGATCTCTTACTTGGTCCCCATCCTTTTAAACTGTCGCTGCTGCTGCTCCATCTTTGCTGCTTGACCTGCCGGTCAGAAGAAAACAGCTCGAGTGAAGGGGCTAACTTTCCTTGCAGGTCTCGCCCCCATGGTTCTTTGTCTCTATCTCTCTTCGAAGATGTACTTTGGGGCATGTGTTTCTCATATGTGGTCTGGAGTCTCCTCATATTTAGCAACGTCAGAATGGCGTGCCTGCCCTTCCC